TATACAGGGTTCCTACTCAAATTTTTGTTTTGAATTCCCTGACTTTCCCTGACCAACTTTGTCCAAATTCCCTGACCCTCACATTTTTTAGTGTGGAATATCGACATAATAAAACAGCATTTTATTTACTGTAAACATTGAATACATCTATCCCTCTTTTTGCACAGTTGATATGTTTCAAAGACTGCCACATTAAAAAAACACAGTATATACATCCTGTAGAAAAATGTTTGATAGAATCCACAACTTCAATGTAATGAAAAAATAAGCAATTTACAAACAAAACATGAGCTTTTTATTTTATCATCATTTATCATTATTATTTATATATTTAATAACTCATTGTTTTAGCTTAATGTATAAATTAAGCCAGCAAAGCAAAAGATGTTTTTAGGTATTTTCCAGGGTACCAAGTTTCAATATTTGTCTATTTTTTTTGCAAAATTTGATTAGTTTGCCCTTTGCCATTTTATATCCAGCTATGAATAGTATATTACACTTAACATTATCAAAAATTTAGGCATCTTGAATTATATTCTTGTTCAGGTAGAAATCAACAACTGTTTTCTGTTGTTGAAAAAGATCAATTCCTCTCTACCTGACCAATGAAATTGTTCCATTCTGAACCATCCAATTATCACACTTAACAAGTACAAAACATGTACTGTACTTGGAATTTTCCAGGATGCTGAACATGAATCTTTGATTCATTTGTCTCAAAATCTGATTGTTCATTTTGTTTTGTTAAATGAATTTAAATAAGGTTAATTTTTGCTCTTTTTTTCTTTTTATAATTTATTTAATATTTTGTGATAAACATGACAATGTTAGGCTAAAGTAACCAAACTCTTATTATGATTTTAATTATAATGTATTATGATCTTATGTCTGGACAGTGCTGGGCATATTATCTGCTAGTAATACTATAAATATTTCCATACAGATTTTAATATTTGAAGTATTTAAAATTTGAGAACTTCAATTCTTGTGTGTTTATTTTTAATTTCAGAATATCTGATAGAGGTGGTGGAATTCCACATCATCTTTTGCCTCATGTTATGGAATATCATTTCACTACTGCGGGTACAAGTACCGATCATCGTATTGATGGGGGTATATTTGGTTCAATGATGGTTGAACCATCAGAAGGACCAGCTGCCGGTCCAATGCATGGGTAAATGTTTTTATACTGTTAAAATCTAAAAAATTTTTGCAGTTATATTTTATTGTAACTTTTTTCTTCAGATTTGGATTTGGTCTTCCAACATTTCGAGCATATGCAGATTATCTTGGTGGTAGTCTCACTATAGAAACAATGCAAGGTATTGGCACTGATGTTTATCTTCGTCTTAGACATATTGATGGCAAGTACGAAAGTTTCAGAATTTAACGCAATATGCAATGCTATGAGATTTTAATATTAATATTAAGGTTGTCCATATCAGTTTATTACGGTACCTTGAATATTTTAATATTGCACAGCTATTTATGAGTAGGAGCATTTATTTGTAAGTTTTTTTTTAACAACTGCCTGGAATCTCAACTGTATCAGTTTCTGAGTTTGACACAATGTGTCAAGTATGTGTTTGTTAAAGCATCTCAGCATTTGTGCTGTTTTTTTATATTTGAAACTGCCAATCTCGGTTCTCCATTGCAACTGTTCTTCCATCTACTGATAAAAATCTGGATGGAATTAAAATTTTGTAAATTAAGAATTTTTATATTTAATTTATCTAAAAATTATAATATACTAATTTTATTATTTTGCATTTAAATAAAATGCAAATCCTCAATTGGACAATGAATCTCTACAATAATACTAGATTTGTCATTGTGTCAGTTCAGATGTGTAATGGTATATTTAAACAAAATGGCACCATACAAAATATCGCATACCACTTTTTTAAAAATTTTAGATAAGTGAAGTGCAAGATGTTCCTGCATCTTACATTTTACCATGTGATAATCTTAGATCTGAAACCATTTGTGAACTTGTGCTTTTGTAATCTCACTTTTTTATGTACAAAATATTTAGTATTATACAATATATATCAGCAGTTTCATTTATCATGTAAAGTTTGAAATAAAAATATTCTGTATTTAAACTGAGTTTTGAAATGTGTGTAATTTATTTCATACCAAATTTCTCATTTACCAAAAATGTTTCAAACCTAGAATTTCTTACAATTGAAGTAAAGAGTTGTGATAAAAGTTTTCTTCTGATTGCATCATATCTTTGCATGAATTGTAATGCAACTGAAACATAGTATATGATGGAATCCAACAGTACTAATTTTGAGGCATTAGTATTATTATAATACAATATCTTGTAATAATTCATTAATATTTGTTGTGATCATAACTACATTTAGTAAAAAAATTTTATAAAACCTAGCAATTGTCTTATTTGTATTATTATTTTAAGTACAGTACAGTACAGTACTGTTTGTTGATTTTATGCAGTTATTTATTACTTCTGATTCCGATAACCATTTTTAAATGGTTATCGGAATCAGAAGTAATAAATAACTGTAAATTGGAACAAAATATGCTATAATAATTGCACAAAAGCAACAGCTTTGGCAACTAAATTATGTTGAAATGAAGGAAGAGGAATTAATAATAAATCCTATTAATGCTGAGATCTAAACTCCCCATTGAAAATGATTAATTTTAGTTAAAACACCATATCTGATAGTAATTTTTCTTTCTTGCAAGTTTTTCTGAGCAAATAGTTTTCTAGGAATCATGATAATACAGATTGATTGCCCATCTTAAGAAATTTTCCTATTTGAATGCCACTATCCTGCTGGTCAGATAGAGAGGAGGACTTGTAGTGGGCAGTAGGTTGAAGTTAATTTGATCAAAAGATGTCATTGACCACCTCATGGATGATGAAGTTAACAAAATCTAGCTTCTTGTTCAATTAGCCAAAATTATGAAACTATTTTATAATATAATTCCATGAAAATATANATTAATTAATTTAAATAATTTAGAATTATTTAAATGAATTACTTTCCTATTTATAATTATTAATATTAATAAGAGATGGTGCCTAACGCTTACCTCTAGTACCAAATTGATTAGGTAATTTATTTAGTAATTAGCATTAAAATAGCCCGATTGATTTCCGGCATTAGGTTGGTGTGTTATCAAAACATAGATTTGAAAAGTCAACTAGAATTAATAGATCTTGCTGCAAATGAATTTTGTCAAAACCTGTTTAAAGAAGGAAATTTGTTAAATTTTTTCAGGTCTTTGTTAGAAGAGAATTTTAAGTCAAAAAAGTTTGCATGAGGGATCTTTTCTATTTTAGCATCTATGTACCTTTGTGAACAAACTTTTTGAAAATGAAATATATAAAGTCAAAATATCTGAAAATTTTAATATTGGCTGCCACAAAATTTATTCTCAATTTTGATGACATTCTTTCAAAAACTTCTAACCTTACAATAATTTATTTCTGTTGTTCTGAAATAGAAAGTATCTTAATAATTGACTGTCTCTTTTGTATCTGGTCCCAGATTTGTCTTTTACAGCTCATATGGCCTTTACAATAAGCCAAATGTCTAACATTTTTCTAATCATATAATTATCGTTATTAGTTATTTTATATTATCACAAAAAATCACACCTTTAAATTCCAGCAATGAATTAAAAAAAAAAAAAAAAAAATGTTTTCAACCAGTTTCACTAAATACGTTCAGTTACAATAGAATGAAAAAATAAAGAATGTGAATACAAAAGTTTAAAAAAAAATTTTTTTTATTTTTGTATTGAATATTGAAAACATTCTTATTTTATTAAATTCATTGCTGGAGTTTAAAGATGAGATCACAAAAAAAAAAATTAATCTCTCCAGTTATTTCAAAATATAAGGTGAAATACAATTACAAAATTTTACTTATTTTGATCAGAGTTTCAGTTAGTTATTATCTTTAAGTAAATAAATAGGCATCTTTAAGGTATTGTTTTATACTATCATTATTAACATATAGCTGATAATGTGCAGTTGCTGTCAATCATCAGTTATAATAAATGGTCTTAATCAGTGCTTTAAACATTATTTATCCATTTGCTTACAGTAACTTAAATTTCTTGAATTTCATACTTTAATTATATGCTAAATGTTGTTAAAGACAACAGATAAACAAGACTGGATAAATTATTATTATTATTAAATCTTTTGAGTTATACATTTTTTAATAAAACATAAAAATATATAATATGACAATACATTCTTAATGTTAGTGGCAGGGTTCCTATGCACCTGGAAAGTCAGGGATTTTTGTTAATGTTTGGAAAAAGTTAGGGAAAAGTTAATGTTGGAAAAAGTGTCTCCTTAGCTGCCTTGTTGATTTCATTTGCTGAATATGGTTGACCAAGTGTAGCCATCTGCAGACGACAAGAAGTAATGCTGTAATCTTTAATAAGAAAATATACCAGAATCTGTTTTGAAATGGCTTTTTTTCACTTTTCTGAAACCATATAATTTTACAGTTGTGGATTAATAATAGGATAAACTAATTGTAATAGTGTTTTATGTAATAGTGTTTAATTTTTAATTTTAGTAATTTAGCAATTATAAAAAGATGAAATTGTTAATTAGAAAAATTTTTAATTAGTTATTTTTTAGTTTGCAACTTTTAAAAGTTGAAATCGTAATTTATTAGAATGTCCACTTCAAAATAGCTAAATAGATCAGTAAAAATCTGTAATTTAATTGTTTTTCATGCTTAAAACATTACTACACAACATTAAAAATTATAAATAGTTACCCCGACATTTGCAGTAAAATGCTGGCACCAACTTGTGGTTGGCACAAGCTTTTTACATTTGTTGTTACAATTTTCCTTGAAAGTACTGTACTGCAAGCATATTTTTTCCCCTCTCTTCCGTTAATTTTGATACATAGTTTAATTAGTTTAACAGAAATGACATTGTGTAACAAAATATCACTGATTTTGGCAAATTTAGGACTTAAAAACTGGCAACATTGATCATACCTGTAATAGATATACTGTAGTTATAGTTTTGAAAATCAACTAGGTAATACAATAGTTTAATCAATGTTAACTTGCTAATAATTAAAATTTAAAAAACTGGTAAATTTTAAAAAATTATTCTAAATATCACTTATGGTAGCTGTTATTTCGTTATGAATGTGTCTCTTTAATCGGACAAATTAAGTTCAGTAGACTGTCAATACAGCTTTCAGGTTAGACACTTCTTTTATTTTTTGACATATGCATTTCAAGCTTATATAAATTTGCTAAGCCCCTCTTCAATGCAATAATATGGTTCTGTCTTCTAAATCCACGGTGTATAACGGACAACATTGGAAAGAGTTTTTCAATACAGCCATTAAAAACATCTAAAATACCCTTTCCAAACATTCATATGGGAAAACCTACTTTTAACATGTGCTCTTAAAATCTTATATAAGTACAACTTTTAAAGAATTTATATTTTCTATAACATAACATTTCAGTAAATTATTTCATTTCACAATATATTACCAATTTAAAAAATTAATTAAATTACTAAAAAATTAAAATAAATATGATTATCTTTTGTGTGAAATGACACCAAAACAATTTTTATAGTTGTGTTGCAAAAGAAAGAGATCTGTAATTGTGATTTTATGTGCTGAACTTCTCTATCTTATTATTGTATAATTGTAATTTCATTTGATGTTTATTTCTGTATTTATTTTATTTAAATTCTATAAGTTTTAAGAATCCCAATTTTTGTAGTATTATGACATCATAGGAATATAAATGTGATTATTCCAAAATTGTCCGGGAACGCACTAAAATAGAAAAACAAATTAATTTAATTATTAGAGAAAAAAGGAATGAACAAAAATTTTTTATCAAACCTTGAAAAATAGTCTATACAATTCAGCTCTTAAGATTGATCATTTGGATTGGAGTTGGATTTTTCATTGTTTGAAAAGACAATGATGACTTCTCTGCAAACTCCGATTCTCCAATTGATGTAAGTAAATCAGAGAATCCATTAGATCCCCGTCATAAAGCGTGGGTGAGGGTCCAAAACCAATCCAGGGAACAATTGAGGGACAGGAAGGTGATAAAAGCTGTTGTCTCAAGGACACAAGGTTGTTGAGTCATCTCTTCCATAGCCATTGCAGCCTCTGGTCATTTGCCTTTTCTCCGCACTTCATATCTGCTATTTTGCTTCCACTGCTGCCTTTTCCTTCCACAAATTAACAGTTGCTTTTCAAAAGAAGGACTTTTCCAACTCATGACAAACACAAGTGATTTACGTTAATGCTAGACATCGGACAGAAATCAAATGAACTTTTTTTTCTAGATTATACACTGAACATTGCTCTGGATTCCACCAACGCTGCTACGAACTTAAGACAAAAAACGAAGACAACTTTGACTATATTGTAAGCATATTTGTACAATAAACGGGTTAAAAGAGGTGTCTTCGTCCATCTGTACCACTTTTCCCACATACTTATTAGTCCCTCAACTTTCCTGACATTGAGAGAATTAAGTTTGAAATTGCCACACAAATTCCCTTTATTTAGTAGTCATATCTCACACAAGCGAAACTCAAAGTTTTAAATCTTATGTTCTAATTGATGTTTAAAATTATGTTAAACCTGAGGAAGGCTATTTAAGATGGCTGAAAACATTAGTTTGTTTAATTAAAATTTGCTATAAAAGTGAGAAAGATGGTTTGTGATATGATTTGCAATAATTATAAGAATTGTAATTAAGTGTTAAAATAAATAAATTTTTGTTTTGTATGCATTCTTAAGAATGATGAAATTTAATGCAAAATTAAATAAATAATGAATAAAAATTATTAAAACTGGCCTTTACACTGAAACCAAAATGGTGGCAATGGCAATGGAACATTTTTTTCTTTTAATGAGTTGCCAATTCAGCTAATTTTTTTGCTAGATTTAGTGGATTTATGAACAATCTAGCTAAAAAATCAAACAATTCTAATGGAAACAATATGATTTGGGTATTTTTATTAAAATGTCTAGCTGTAAATTTGAATTTTAAGTTGGCAACACTACTTTTAATTAATATATATGCAGATGCGGATTGGATGTCATTTGAATATTTTATGTAGTGATGTGACAAAACAAGTCTTACACATTGCTATCTGATCTGGTTCATCTGATTTTAATATTATTATTCAAGGTTTGTGTTTTTCTACATTCTTAAATTATAATGACATGGAAACAAATAAGGTTTAATCTCCAATGGCTGGATCCAGCTATTCATCCAGAACTCAATTCCTGGTTAGGAACTATAAAAGAAGATTATACAAAAACATTTTGCTGCAATTGTTGTAAAGTTTTCTTTAAGTAATATGGAAAAGCATGCATTAGTATCACATGCAAATAGTTCTAGTCATGTTGAAATAGAAAGATTGAAGTCGGAACAAACTTCACTGATAAGGTTTTTAACCCCAACAAATTCAAGCTCTTCTAATAGTCAACAAAATGTGTGTGAAACGGCTTCTGTTGTAGAAGATAGATCTATGATCACTAATGAACAGTCTGTCACCAAATCAACATTTCTTAGCAGCACATTGACACCTTTTGTGATAAAAGATGATGTAATAAAAGCAGAGATAACTTGGGCATTGGCAGTTGTAAAGAAAAAGATGTCACTCAATTCATGCTCTGATATTAAAAACATTTTCAAAAAAATGTTTCCTGACAGTGCTATAGCCATGCAATTTCAATTGGGTCCAGATAAAGCTTCCTATATAATAAATTATGGCCTAGCCCATTATTTCAGAGAAAAATTGATTAATGCTGTTACAAGTTGCGATAATATTACTATCTCCTTTGACGAATCACTAAACAAAGTTGCTCAAAGAACTCAAATGGATCTTGTGATAAAATACTGGGACGAGAGTAAAGATAAGGTTATGACCAGATATTTAAATAGTGTCTTTCTGGATCATAGTACAGCAGATGATCTTCTCTCTGCATTTCTCAATGGTCTTTCAGAAATTCATCTTGATCTAGCAAAAATTCTTCATATCTGTATGGACGGACCAAATGTAAACATAAGTTTTCTGAATAAATTAGAAGATCACATGGAGACACAGAACATTGGTAAATCATTTGTGAGAATGGGAACATGTGGTTTACATGTAGTCCATGGTGCTGTAAAAGCTGGTTTTAAAGTAGTAGATTGGAATTTGTTACCACTGCTACGGAATTTGTAC